GCATTCGACACACCACGTTGAACGGAGTTGCTTAATAATTTCCGCGGGCATGACGATTTCTGCCGACATGCTTGACCCGTGCGATTTTAAACGATTATACATTTGGACGGAATCGTGAAATTCCGCACATTGTGTGTGTATGTGTGTGACATATTTTGTAATTTCATGTGATTAATATGTAATTATATAGCACTTAGCCATCGGGTATCGGAGATTAGTATAATTTATTTACGCATGTAAAAAACTGTCTTTTATCTTATCTCTCTCTACTTATTACATTTCAAATATCATTATACCTTCGGACAATTTAATGAAGATAATAACATTTTGCATTTTTCTAGTTTTTCAAACAAAAGTAAGCTCATTACGATAAGAATTTTAACGACATTTAAAAAAACACTTAAAAACTAATTAGTAATTCTATGAAGCCAATAATGGGTTTACTATCTCGAAAAACAGACGAAATCGTTTCGTGCAGGTGTTGCGTCATTATACAGTTATTATTCTAACGGTCTCGCTTGAGATTTCGGGTGTTTAAAACGGCGGGATCAGACACGTACGCGGGGCCTGTATGTCAAGACCTACACCTTGACATTCGACCGACGAACAGAGAAAATTGTGTCAAACGAACTGTAGTTGTGGCTTCCTCGACCTAAATTCGGCTATCAAATTGACAGGGCCGAAAACATCAAAAATTAAATACCAAACTAAATTGCGAAAATTCATATTTCGTTAATTTTTTTAACAGAAATTTAACTTTGCATTTTCTAAAAATATCCAATGTTTTATCCAAAGTGAGCGAACGCAATAAGCATATGTTTACGTGTCCTTCTGTTTAGAAGCACCACACTTATAGATTATTATTATTATAAAAGTCATGATTAAGCAATAAAACTCATCGCACAGGCTATTAGCCATGCTTGGTTAAAATAAATTAATTAATTAATTATATTTGACTAAAAGTGAAAGTTGATTAATCTATTTTTTTCGTAATTGTACGGAAATCTCTCGTTCCTTCATTCTCGATGATTATTCGATGAATAATTAAAAATAAAAATCATAAAATGATGATTATTATCAAATGCAAATTGTGTGAATCATTGATTTCGTTAAAGGTGTAATTACAGTGTTTTCCTTGTCTTGTGCAAAGCTGTGTGCATCACATGTGCATGCGTAACAAGCTGTTTACGTGGAACTCACTTTTACTCGGGCATGAAAATAAACACACGGCATGAAAGGTTTCCGTACAGCAGGCCAGAAAGAAATGTACTTTACAGTTAAGCAGCATGTCTTGCAATTCTATATATTGTTACAAAATAATTTTATTAAGAAAATTTTAATCGACCGATAAAAACGATTCAAGTGCTTAGCAAAGATAGATTATAGCACATTGCTTAGCTTAGAAATATCTGTGATCTGAAAAATATTGAAATGTTTAAATGCACACTATTTCTTTTCATAGGTCTAAGCACAGTTATCTTCTATTAACAGTACTTTATTTATATATTTTTCAATTTTATTTAGTTTAAATTTGTTTTTTTTTTTAAATTTTTATAAAAATCCTAAAGTACTTCCAATTCTTGCTGCGTTTCTTACATATGCATTCCCCTGCGTGCACTTTTCACGTAATCGTACAATTAGATGGACGTCCATTTTAAACGACCTACCAACGTATTCAACCCGCTAATTAATTACGTGAATGCAGTACGCCGTCGTTAATTACCACACGTCCGACTGTTTTCCATCGCGACGAAATAACGCCACGACATAAAGTTTCGGAAAGATACGAGCGTAACGAAGTGGTAATGCCACCGCGGTGGCTGCGGAGCGCGTTATGCTTCGGCACACACCACTGGCCGCGCACTCTTTTTCTCGGACGAGTGTAACGCGAAAAAAGAGATCGTGCAAAATCGTGACATCGTTCTCCCATTCTCGGTCCGCCGATAAAATATCAGAATTTTGACGGATATTGTAATATTAAAAAAAAAAATTAATCTTAAAACAGGGACTCTCTGAAAGTCTCAAGAGTATCATTGACCATCATTCGGAAAAATAATCCAGTATTTGCCATTTTTCATTGTACTCAAGTATTAATGCGACGTAAACTGTGTGTAAACGCCTTGAGATTACGATATTACTTCATATTACACTTTTAGAGAAAGTAAATTATTGTAGAATCGTTAATTCGCACTCACGTTTGACCGCTTACCGATATAAACAAAGCGCACTGATTGAAGAAAAATATAACACTTGCCGATTACAAGATTTAAAAAAATAATTTAATGATACATGCTGTTTGATGAAAAAATAATGATTTGATTTCGTCGTTTAAATTATAATAACTGACAAACGTATCGATCAATACTTTTGAATAGATTTTTACGGCTATTTTTTCTTTACGGAAGAATGTCTGAATAGCTGAGTAACAGTAACTGCAAACGTAAATTTCGATGAATCGCAATAAGCTACTTGATAATAAAAGTAACTTGCAATTTTGCTAACACCGGTATGAACCGGCATATTAATGAATCGCATCCTCGACGCAACCATTAACACAAAGGTCTCATAACAGGTAGAAACGCAAAATATTACTATTGTCCTCACTATAGCATTGACTGTCGAACAATGCATTTGGGAGGTCTTGTTTTTTTTCTAAGCCTCACTCAGAAACTTCTCTCGCAGAGTAAATGATTTATCGATTCCGTTCTAGATATTGTTTCAGATATTTCCTATGGTTTAAGTTAAATGTGCAAAAACACACGGTACACCCACAGCGTAGTAAGCATTGGTAAGAATAGACTGCTCACGGAATTCGCATAGCATCAAGAACTTAAAAAGAGAAAGGAAGCTTTGAATAGGTATTGAGTTGAAGAGAGATAGAGAGTCGATAGGTACTGAATTGAAAAAAAGATAGCAAGCTTATTAAAACGTTTGCGTTTTCTTTCTCAATTTGTACGGCTGTAATGATTCCTAGTTAACTATTTTTTGTAGGAATGTATTTTACTGCAGTCTGACGCTACAAATATTTCGAAACGTTCTTCTTTTCCTTCTCTTTTCATTGAAAAGAATGCCTCGAAGGACTTGTAGCGCCAAATCACAACCATTGTTTTCAACTATACAGCGAATAGATTTTGGCGAAAATTTCAAACGATCCCTAAGGAATTTTAATTTTCTTTTCTTCTTTCCTCTACTTTCTTCGACTGCAACATTTCTAGCCTAACCGGCCTAACAGGAAGGTTCCGCTGGAAACTGGGGAGAATTCTCTTCACTTTTTACCGTAAAGTGTACGGAAAAGTGCGAAGCGTTTTCCACGCATATTTAGGTGGCCAGAACGCAGAAGAGCTCTGCGTATGCACGTTCGCTTATTTCATCGAAGCTTGTCTCAAGGGACGGAGAATAATCATAAATTTTCTGACTTGATTTCAGAAACGCTAATATTAAGCTTTAAGTCAGTGATGAGCAACCTTCGTTCTGCAGTGTGCCAAAATTGAAAACCTAATATTCCATACGAGTCGCAACGAACGCAATATTAAATACTTAAATATATTAATAAAAAAAAATTTAATTTATAATAGATATATAATTTACAAAATAATTGACAATAGATTGTGCTTTTTGCTAAAATTTTTACACTTTAGCTAAATAAAGTGCAACGTTTCGGCGGGCCGCAGGTAAGTAGTTGAAGGGCCGCGGATTGCTCATCATTGCTTAAAGTTGATCATAAAATAATTTTGTCTAAATTTCAGGACTTTACCAAATAAGAAATATCGATAAGTATAAGTTTAGAGCTTATATTTTTGTTTAAAGATTTATATTACATTTATTTGGAGTTTTTCGAAAATACGTTTACATCAAATGATACAGTATACGTTATATGAGTTCACATTTTATGCCCACGAAGAAGCGTAGTGTTACAAATTCTAACAACAATATAATGCTCCGTAACTTCGATTCCTACGACTTCTTTCGTTGTTTTGCTTTCTCTTTCGGAACTGGCATGCTCTAGTTCGCCCGCAGCCATCCGTCCATCTATCGGCAGCTCTTGTGCCGTTGGTTTGAGATTGACTCTTTTCTCAATCCAATTAAGCCGAAATAGAGAATAAACCGCAAAACCGTAAGAAAGAGATGTAACAAGGCCCGTTATATTCCATAGTTTATTCCACGAGTTTTATATTCTCGTAAGAAATAACTTGTATAATACATGCAACCAGTGGCGGATTTAAGGAAAAAGGCCCGGTCCGCAAACGTTACAAGGGGCCCATTTTTATGTAGGTAGAACATTTTCGACACTTGTTACCGTGTTCGCGTATCTTAACGAATCTCGATTATGTTGAATCTGATGACTAATGACAAAATTCGCTCTCGAAATTTCTGTCTTTCCCATTTGTAACTTTTAAAATTTGTCGCCTACCCCAAATAAAACCAATCTCAATCAGTCTGAAAATGAAGCGTAACAAGTTGATATTTTTCATTGCGTTTATGTTCTTTGATAGTAGAATTAAGAGTAGTCTATTTCACGATTTTACGCGTTACACGCCTCGGGTTACTTTAAATGTTAGTAAATAATTTTTTTATGGGAGCCCTTTTCGGGCCGGGGCGGCGGTGGCCCGGTTCGCAAATCGACATTTGCGGATCGTTAAATCCGCCACTGCATGCAATATATATTATACATGTGTATATTTATAATTATGTTTAATGAATTAATGAATAATATGAATGCTATATATATATGAAAATATAATATAATTGTCCGATAAAATTATCGGTAAATATTTTATATCAAAATTGAGAATCTCCCATAATATTTAATAAAATTCTTATAAAATATATAAAATTTGCACAATGTATTAATAATAAAAGAATTTAATTTACAATAATCTGCAGAATTCTTGGAAAAAACAAAAGTATAATCTAAGTCATTCGAATTTAAATGTATAAAAATATATGATTTTTATGATCTAATTTGTACGTTTTTAGAAATATAAATATATTAATTACGATCATAATCATAAAAATTATATGCGCAATTTTTTTTGCTAAAATGTTTACGAATAATATTTCTTTATTTCTTTAAGCAGAAATGGCTCCGTTGTCTCATTTATTTCCACAAACCTTTTATTGGCTCGGCTAAAATAATAAATATCCCCGGTGTAAATATCAAACCACAGCGCGTGAATGTGCAAATCGTGTCTCTCCAAGCGCTTCTTCAGAAACCCATACGACGCGATATTTTGAAGCTGTTGCAATGTATTGATCTGTAACAAAGAAAACTCAATATACAAGCTTATCGCAACTGTTTTTGCACTGATCTCTTTTTCCAACTAACTTGTGACAACTTGTCTTCAATAGCGAATTTATCTTCTGGATCAATGTAAGCGACAAATTTTCGCAGCGGAGTCTCAGCTTGGAAAATAATCGGCTCGTGGAAACCGGTGACTTCGAGATGCTGAAACTTTGCCAAGCTGCTGCTGGCGTGCGCACACAACCACGCTCTCAACGGCGATATTCTTCTGTTCATCTAAAATTCAGGCGAAATTACAATTACGCGCGCGAAAAAGCGATAAGAACACAATATCAAAAGATGCGACAAAGATTCACGTCTTATCATTAAAAAATATCCTATCCTCGTCAATAAAATAAAACTTTTTACGATCACAAGAGAACGTACTTGAGATGCAAATTCCTCGTCCCGTAAAGCGTAGAGCAGATTCATGGCCTTACAATCGCTGTGGCCACACACAATAACGTGTCTTATATCATTTACCACACAACCAAGCTCCAACGCCGCTGATTCACACATGGTAAATTCGTCCACAAAATGTTGCGAATGTGGAACAACATTGCCGGGGTTTCGGACTGAAAATATGAATCCTGTTAAAGATATGTCCGGTCTTGCTCTCGGTTCTTGAATAAAGCTTTTATGTATAAATCGAGAAAATCAGAAACCATACATATTCAGTGAATGAGATATTTAAAAAAAAACACAAAGTTCTTACAAAATTTTTTTGTTTATAATGTACATCAGTGATGAGCAATCCGCGGCCCGCGGGTCGCACGCCTTCCAACTACTTACCTGCGGCCCGCCGAAACGTTGCACTTTATTTAGCTAAAGTGTAAAAAATTTAGCAAAAGGCACAATCTATTGTCAATTATATTGTAAATTATATATCTATTGTAAATTAAATTTTTTTTATTAATGTATTTAAGTATTTAATACTGCGTTCGTATAAAATATTAGGTTTTCAATTTTAGCACATTGCAGAACAAAGATTGCTCGTCACTGATATACAAAAAATAAAAATAAATAAACAAGAAATTAATTTTAAAACATTTTTTTAATATTAATTTTAAATTATTATTAATTAGAATACATGGTTTTTTTTTGATATAAATAAAAATTTGATAAATAGAAGTACATTATATTCAGATTATCGTAAATATCGTATTTCATAAAAAAATATTTTAAGAAGCATTATATTAAAAAAATACATTGTGGAAAAATTAAGCAAAAATAATAAAATAAACCAACAATTATAATAATGCCATAATAGATTGTCGTACCGACAAACATGTCTCCAACATTTGTTTCCGTAAATCTAGTTGGGATCATTCGGGAGTCCATGCAGGTGAAAAATACTGCCTTGGGCTACGATAAGAGTAACAACAGACATAAAATTACGACCGAGCATGACGTGTTAATATTATAACTGTATAGTTTATAATAATATTCATAATATTATGTAATAAAATCCTAAAATTTTGAAAATTTCTTCATATTTTTTAAATCAAAGAGAGATATACATTTATAAATTCGACACCCTGTATATGTTTTAAAGTGATACCGACAATACAGTTGATAAAAACGGAACACATCCAGTAATGCTATCGGTAATAGCATTACCGATAGCATTAGTAAGATAGACCTTTTACCACATGCTGCATAAATTATAATATTAGTGACATTATCATCATAAGGTACTGTTATATACGTATTGTCAATGTTAGTATTTTTCATGAGGTCTGAATCTTTATCCCCTCATTTACAACAAAATATAAAAATATGGGTATATTTGGGCTGTACATCATTTGTACACGAATATACTATGATTTTTAGTGTTCGTGATTAATTAAAAAAAATAAAAAGGTTTTAGTAACAAGACAAATGAAAACCTTATTGTTATAATTATTTCATTAAACAGTTTATATAAACAAACGCTAAAAATCATGATACATTCATGTACAAATGATGTATGTATAATCCGAATATATCAATGTTTTTATATTTTGTTGTAAATTAGGAGATAAGTATTCGAATCTTTTTTTCATGCTGCACTTTTATAAAATCGATTTGTAAATTGTTTTAAAAAAATTGGGTATAGGATTACATTAATAGATTTTATAATGGGAAAACGAGCGGAATGTAACTTATGAAAAAAAAAAATTATTTATAAAAGACGATAAGATTTACTACAATGACACTGAATAGATATAAATAATGCATAATATGAATTCGCAACAAACACAAATGAGATGCAGTATGTTCGAAAAACGTGACTGGCATTTTTTCATTAAATTTATTTCAATAAAACTATAAAAACAATTACACATATATTTCAGGTAAATATTCATGTGACGCAACTACATGAGTAAGTCTAGTATCTAGTATAGGAGATAAGCCTGACATTTCCATACTATAACAGATAGCATACCATGAAGATGCCAGGCTATTATTGATAACGATAGCAACTAGACGGCTTACTAATATTGTCGTATTTTACATTTTTTTTATATTTTATATTTTAAATATATATATATTTTTTTAATTTATTGAAGTAATTTAACGAAAAAAATATTTTACACCTTTTTTTAGATATACTGTAAATATGTATATAATTAGATGTATATGTAGATGTATATGTGTAGACTGAACATATATTTGAATAATTCAAATTGTTTTAACATATATTTTCAATTCGGAAGGTCCGAGCTCTTTGACGATCGATTTTGAGATTTGGACTATGCAAACTGACTGATTGTGAGATCATCCTAAAATTTCCGAGAACTACTTTAATCAATTACATGTCAATCACATGTCAATCAATAATTCAAGGTCATATTTCGGACCTACATTTAACATAAATTTTGAAATTAATTAAGTTAAAATTACATTGCGTTAAATTGATGTACAAATTTATTTTCACCGGATAATTCGCAATTACTCGAAAAAAATTATAGCAACAAAAGCACGTGGGCTTCACGCTTGAAGCTGACGTATCAATGCATCGATAATCACGCGAGATGTTTTTTTTTCTTAACACAGTACAAACGTACCTCGGGATGATCCCTGACTTGTTGAAATTGCTTCACCATTCCTTCTCGATGACACTTTCTGTACTTCATGATCCCTTTGAGTATCCTATCCATCGCAGCATTCAAATGATACTAACTATAGAATAACTTTTCAGAAGCTTGTTCTCCCGAATCAAGTGCAATGACAGCACACAACTACGCCATTTATCGATACAGCAGCGGGAAATTTAAAAGCTGTAACTTGTGGTATACGAATAAAGATAATAAATCTATTTTTTTCAAAACTGATTGTTTTTGATCTCAAAATAAAATGTTTTAAAAATCAAAAATAATTTTGCAAATGAAAACTTATTCTTAGTATAAATCTGTATTAGATCAAACTGTGATACAGTTAACTTAAAAGATTTATATACCTAAAATCATACATTTTCTTATATTATAATTTTGTTATAGAAAAGAAAACACAGGTTTGTCTGCAATGTTTACTTGCATATTCCCAAAAAATACACATTAGTCTATTACATCTCATATAAATACTTTTGATACATCTCTTGAGTGTAAAAACAGACAAATACGTTATCATAATTTTTTTTCTACAAAATAGACATTTACTATTTATTGACTTCACAACTATTACACAATATGTCGATATAATTATAAATAAGCTCCACTAGAAAGCTTTTTTTTGTTTTATTTGTATATTTAAAAATAAAATTTATTAATAAACAGAATTATCAATTATCTTCGACAAAACTGTTACTATTGTAAATCACTTGAAGACTATAGACTAAGAATCTAAATGTTTAAAAATTTTCTAAATGTTTAAAAAGTTTAAAAATTTCGACAATAAATTATGTTCTAATTTCAGGTTTTCTAGCCAACAGCATGCCTAATTAGAAACTTATTTCTTGTGTAGATTCTAGATAATGTTCTATAGATTTGAAAAAATATTAAGCATATATGTGTGCAATTTTTTAATCAATTACCAAGATTTAGAACTAGTTTGTTAACAATTCTGCAGCAAATAAATATAAATATTAAAAAAGCTTAAAAAATAAATACGTGTACTATTATGATACACATACTTCTTAGATACAGGAAATATGAATAAAAAAAAAGAAAAAATTGGATTTTAACATTTTTCTTTATTCAACAAAAAAGAATGTAAAATTTGTTGAAATTAACGATACGATTTCTGGTATCGTGCTCTAGCACCTGGACCACCAAATTTCTTTGGCTCACACCTTCTTGGATCAGCAACAAGGAGAGTACGATCATACTGAATAAGAATATCCTTTACCTCCTTTTTACTGGCTTCATCAACATCTAAAATAAAATCATATTATTATAACCTAATAAATTCAATAATTGGGGCTCAATAATCAAATATCAACACTTTGAAATCCAAATTAATTTCAATAAATAAGTTAATATTAAGTATTTGTCCTTATTGTAATGCTATTGAATAAGATAAATATAACAATATATTACTTGTTATCTAAGACAGAGATGGGAATTAGTTGCAACTTTCAATTTTCTGATTGACGCCTACTGTTTCCTCCTTGCTGCTCGCATGCTAGCAACGAGTCACCAAACGCGCTAACAACGTCCGTAACTAAGATATGTGATACTCATTGTCAGCCCCAGGAATGTCCATATCACAAATGCAACAAGATAATAAATATGGAACAATAGATTTCCACATTACGTGTGAGGTACTATTATTGACGTGTTCTTCAACAATAGTACCTCACAGGTGGAAACCTACATTTATCCCATATTTATTATCTTATTATATTTGTGATATGGACATTCCTGAGGCTAAATATCACGCACCTTAGTTACGCGCGTTGTTAGCGCGTTTGACGACTCGTTGCTAGCATGCGAGCGGCAAGGAGAAGGCAGGAGGTGTCAATCAGAAAATCGAGCTGAAAGTTGCAACTAATTCCCATCTCTGATCTAAGAAATTAAAAAAAATACCAGTTTGCTAATTACAATCACGCATTGCTCCAATTGTTTGCAAAATTATACATGGGATTGTATAAAGTATTATATCATGTACAACAAAACAACAAAACTATAAAAGATCAATTTAACAATTGTACTTACATTTTTGATAATATGCAACTAGTGCTTTAGAAATTGCTTGGCGAATAGCATAAATCTGTGCCACATGACCACCACCGTTTACTCTCACTCTAATATCAACTCCAGAGAACTTTTCCTGAAATACAAATAGGATAATATATCTTTGACAAAAACTACATCTGGTTTATGTGAATCCATTTCTAATCATAAGCTATCATGAGCAATATTTAGAAAAAATATATATTACAAAATAAATCACTACGTGTACAAGTATTTATAAATAGAAGTGACAGATTCAAAATTAAAAAAAAATTTATACTGACATTAATCTTTTCAGTCATTAGTTTGAAAAATCTTTACTTCTACGTGTCACTCACTTTGCCCAACAGTAGGATAGGTTCCTGCAATTTGTATTGTAATACTCTAGGTTCCACCAACTCTAATGGTCGGCCATTCACACGGAGATTTCCACGTCCACGCTTGCAATAGGCGACTGCGGTCGCGCTTTTCTGCAACGTACGTAAGTTTGTATTAGACACTTAATATAAGCACGCGTGTATCTAACCTTACTCTCATCATTATAACTCACCTTGCGTCCGAAGACTTGCACGGACTGGATTGGCTCCTTTTGTTTCTGAAAAGAAAATTATGCGTTACAAATCTAATTAATGGTTCTTTTTCTTGAAATCGATATAATTCCAATAGTAGAAATGTTACACTAACTTTTTGCATCTTGATCTAGCAGCAGTATACTCTAGAAAGGAAATAGATTACAACATGAGGTTCATCATTTGCTTACACTCGCTGCACTCGCTCCACTCGCTGCACTTCTGCACCTGCGTTCGTGTTATAGGAAATGACGTAAACCAAATGCTGGATTCACATAGAGTCCGATTTCCGACATATGACGTCCAATATCCAATAAAAAAAATTGTTTTATATAAAACAATTTCTCTTATAGCGTTTTCGAATAAACGGGGTTTGAACGATCTAGGGTTGATCAATCACTATTTTACTATAAATGCAAGTCTTTCATTGGTGGAGAGGTTGCAATGACGTCATTAACCAATCTTGGGTCGTTCAAATCCTGTATAATCGAAAACGCTATTATTGAATATCAGACGTCGGAAATCGGACCCAATGTGAATCTAGCAAAAGGGTCGTGTGGATGCGTTTCAAAATTCACTGCCAGTACTGGAAATCTATAGTTTATGTTACGTATATTGTAGATTTTCAGTACTGGCAGTGAATTTCCGAACGCAGCATATCATGCTGATTCAGGGCAGAGCCAAGATCTATAGAGAGAAGATTACCTCAGGCAAACCGGTTGTGGGCGAGGGACGATGAAGTAAGGGGGAAGCTAGAACAGCTTGTAGGCGAGGGGCGACGAAGTAAGGGGGGAGCTAGAAACAGCTTGTAGGCGAGGGGCGATAAAGGAGGGGAAAGCATGATGATCTCTCGTCAAACAGTAGCTGTCTCTCTCGCACGCTTTAGTGTTTTCTCTCTCGCTCCTTTTAATATAGAATGCTTTGAGTTTTTATCGAAAAAATACTTTTATTTGTGTAAAATATTGATAGCACTGGAAATTGCGTAATAAAAATTGAAAAGTAAATTAGAAAAGCGCTATAAATTACATATATTGCAAATTATAGCGCTAGATATTTAACGTTTATAATGTTAAATATCGTTGCAACAGATGCATTTGTAATACAAATTGCTTTGTACTCGTATTTAGACTGTAATATCAATGAAAATAAAATATAATTTGGGGATATACACAAAAAACATCATTTGTAAAGTAGTAAAATAAAAGAAAAAATAGTACATATTTAAAAATTATTTTTAAAATAATAATTTTCTGTTTATATGCATTATTTACAAAAGAAATACTATAAAGAAATTTATTTTTTATATTTAATTGTGAAAACCTCAAAAACTGTCAAGAAATTGTAACTAAAATTCATAAATGTAAGTACAATTCTAAGATAATATAAAAAACATCATACACAAATTTATTATGATACAAACTTAAATAACGAAATTGTAATATATGTTTCAACATTGCAAATGTGAATATTTATATGATAAAAATTTACAAAGTGTTAATAATTTTCAAATA